TAACAGACTGATTAACAGATTCATACTGTATTGTAATTTATATTCCATTCTATTGTATGTAAATTATTATATTATATTGATTTACAAATCAAGCAGCCGCGTATTTGGCCAATTTGAAGATTCAGTGATCCTGTTCGATGTAAACGATTTTGAAATTATAACTTTAATTCTTAAGATTTCGATTATTTCGTATACGATGCATAGTAATGTTACTGAATATAATTTTAATTGCAAATGATCACTATTATATATAAATATTCCAAAGAAAAAAATCAGGTATTCTTTTAAATATATATATATATATATATATATATATATATATATATATTTAAAAGAATACCTGATTTTTTTCTATATATATATATATATATATATATTTAGACGCGTTTTATAGATAGATGCAAATTTCTCTGAATAAACTTTTTTGTAAATTCAATCAATTATGAGATATTTGTTCGAATATCTATGGGTGGACATCTTGTATATACAGGGTGTTTCAAAAATAGATCGCCAAACTTTAAGAGAATATTCTGATCACTGTAAGGATGAAAACAAGTCATATAAACATGGAGACGCTCCATTTTCAAATTATAAACATTTTTTATTTATATTAGGCAACATCGACAATCCACGCATTTGCGAGGCATGCGTTAATTCAGAAAAAATCATTTTCAGTAATTTCTGTAATGAAATGTTGTAACAGTTTTAAATTATCATAAATTATAAATTAAAAATGTTTGTAAATAGCAAATAAAACGTTTCTTAGGTTTATGTAACTTTTGTTTATGTATGTTTATATAACCTAATGTTTGTATGACTTTTCTTTTCATTTTTACAATTCTTACAAAAATTTTTTTATTAATAAAATATGATTTTAAGGCTCTGTCGATTTATTTCTGGAACATATTGAATAAATAAGCTGTACGAGAGAGAAAGATCAGAATTAATATTTTGAATTGATTAGTGTTTCCTTAAAAACAAAATCTCGTTTTCTCGGGCAAAATAATTGCAAAGGAATATAATTTTAACCATACTATTTTAATTATTACGTTAGAGAGCGTGTTACTTAAGTCGCAGTCAATAATTAAGAGTTTAAAGTCGACCGTGCGAAACAAATATCTCAGTTTCCCTTCCTTCCTGCAGTCTTTCAAAGTCACCTGATCTTAACTCGTTTAACTTTGGTCAGGAGAGATTAGTAGCTTTCGTTCCTCGCTCGATTGCTTCTCATGAAAGCTCGTAATTCGATTGATAAGTATATTATAATAGTTGATGATAAATCTTTTTAAACAATTTCTCGAACGAATTTTACAAATACTGTTATTAATCCTCATCTAGGAATACATACATCGATTATTTTCTTATGAATGCAAAAGAATTTCTTCTTGGATATGTTTTAATAGAAAAATAATTAATTAATAAAAATTAAAAATTAAATAATAATAAATAAAAAAATATTTATTAAATTTAATAAATTTAATAAAAAAAATATGTTCAATAGTTACAACGATTTTAAATAGTTTCGGTAAAATTTGAGCTTTTTAAGGAAAAAATTCAATAATAAATTTAATTTGCCGACAATTGATTATTATTAAGCGATTAACCTATTACGTTTGCATGTACTCCTTATTTCTTAATAAATTCCATGTATATGTCACACGCTATATATACAGATTAATTCAAGCAATTGTAACAAATCATATCTTTTTGTTGGAATTTAGAAAAAATATTATAAGAAAAAGATTAATGGTTCAGAATGAACTACATTGTTGACACACACGTGCGTCTCTCCATTGTTCACGGTACTTTCTCTTAAGGATCATATAACACCATTGGAAAGAGTTATCCTTAGGAACCTATCGGCTAATAGCTAACAAAATGCATAGATAAAAACATATGGGTACCTTTGTCTAGGCTTAGGTATTTTTAGTAAAGCATCTGGGTTTTGATAATATGTCGATTAATAATAAATAGTAAAAGTAGAAGCCTAGGCTCGATAAACCAAGGGTTGTCTGGCGCCTAGCTTTGAAATATTCATTGACACCCTATAATCTGTAAGAGTATTAGAACAAAGAGGCACATATGGAATGTTTAAACATTCCAACGAACTATCCCCGACCAATGGGCATTTATTCTTTTCCTTTTCATATGTCGAACTCTGCTCTTTACCAATCTTATTTAAGTTTACGTGGGTAGTTCAAAATAGGCCAAAAGACAGTCAAGTTTTGGACTCATAGCATCTAAGCAGTCAAGTCACATCTTTCAGACTCACAACGTCTAAATTCTCAAGTCTCCTTCAGAAGCAACCAGTACAGCTAACTACACATCATACACGAGACACACAAACAATTGTAACTCATCCAATCAAATACACGGTGAGATTTACATATTGCGTAATTACTTCTTCATTTCTCACGGGATCCTTTAAAAGAACGCGCGATCTCCCACTAATTTGCGGGAACGCAGCGAGCGATATTTTACTAAAGGCCTGCCACGGTATCCTAGCCTAGTGCCGCCGCTCTTATTCATCGTGACCAGTGGGTCTATAGCTTGGACATTAAGGACGAGATCAGGGACATTTCCTCCGTGCGAATCGACTGTCATTGCTGGTCCGTTGCGAGACGCGCATTTTAAAAACGCTCTCGTCAACAATCAACATACATATTAACGATTATATTTTTTTCGCAAGTGCAATTGCATTTTGCAATTGTATTATATTTTTAAATGGAAATCTTCCTCGTCATTTCCTGAATTATATAAAAGTTTCTAAATTGTTTCAGCACATATGAACCGGGTACTAATATTAATTAACTTAGCGACAGAGTTAAATAATTAAGAAAAATTTAGCCACAATAACTTCCTAATGTATAAGTTTAGGGCATAAGTATGTTAATACTTTTATGTAGACCCATAAAAAACTGCATCAATTGATACAATCAAAAATATAAGTTACTATTAAAAAAAAAGTGCAATTGTATTTTTCTGATGAACCATTTCAAGAAAAAACAGAATTATTTGCATATTATGCATCATCAGATACCATTTAATTTTGATCTATAGCATTTTTATCTATTTTCTATCGGTCTGATTCAACATACAGTCTGTTTCAATTGCATGAGACACCCTCTATATAGATTTATACATATAGATATAGATATGTATTATGTTTATGTTTAAAATAAATTATATAAAATAAAGTTTATTTTATAAAATGAATTTCACTTTTATAGTTATATACAAAAAAAAAAAGAAAATAAAAAAATAAGAAAGGAAAAGAATTGTTTAAAATTTACTCTACTTCATGGAATTTAAATATTCATTTCACTCTAACTCGTGAGTGGCTGATAAAATATTTTTTATTTTTACAAGTCTTGTGATTCATGCATAAGAAATTATTAAAATACATCAGTTATTCAAGTACTAACGTACGAATGAGTTCTCCAAAAAAGAATAGAAAAAAGAATAAAAAAGGAATAAAAAAGGAATAAAAAAGAAAAATAAAATCTACCTCTCCGTAAAAAAATAATCCAAGTAAAATCTCAGCTACGGCTTCGTACATCTCAGAGATGCAGACAACAGTGCGACGTCGAGATGGCTGAGTGGGGAACGGAAAGGAGACTATATTAAATTTTCTTACAACTTTAGAACTTATCGAGTTTACGTACGTCGTTGAAAAATACATTTATGCGCGATATACAATCACGATTACTCTTATACATGTGTTTACAAACGCACATTTATACGCAGACTATACTTGAAAAGTCGGTAAATACACACTAGATCTACAAATTTTCTAATTTCCTACATTAAATTGTAATTCTACGGAATTAAATCTAATCCGGAAAAGTGCAAATATAGGAAGTTTCTTATGGCGATAAGTTATGCGATTAGATCGAGTATATTTCTCGTATTCTGTTAACTTGCTGAAATGATTTTGCAGTGTAGATAAAAGGTATGAAAGCCATGATCTATTTCAAGAACTTCCGTAATTTTTTGCACATCGAAACGACAATTGAAACTGTTAAAACTAATCGATAAACTGTAAACGATTTCTTGAACGAAACTTGTTCGATAAAATTTTATTTCTATCACTGTTGTATATTAATGAAGAAAGTAAATTGTGACGTTTTGGACAAAAAACATTTTTTTTCTGTCTCTTACTAATACTCGAGATCTCAAACCGAGATTGTAACAGTTGTTAAATTCTATGTATATCAGCGTTAAATTATAAACGAATTATTCTTGTAATATTATTTTTGTTATTAGGGATAAATATATTTTATTCTTTTTATAAGATTGAATTTTTATTTTTAAGACGAAATTATATTTGACTGCATGTAGAATTGTTTCGATTTAAAAAAAAAAAAGGAAAAAAAAGATTTTTAAGTTTTTATAGAAAATTTAAGAAGCAGACAATTGTTTTCACTTCGCATATTCTCGAAATTTTTTCTTAAGCTTAAGATAGGATATAGAAATTTCTGATTTTTTTTAATGATCTTTTTCGAAAACGTACACATTAAATGATATAAAATAATAATGGTCAAAAAATGCATAATGTCAAATATGTACATTTAATTGATATAACATAATAAATTAGTATATAAATATATTGATTAGCCAAACAAAATTTATAAAAATAGTTTTTCCTTATATTTTTTTTTTTTATTTCTTCCTTTTTTCTTTTTTTTTTTTTTAACAATTATGGTGGCGTTCCATTTTAAGCACGGAAGAAATTTCGAAGTTAGAGAATTTTAGCATCTAAATTCTCCAAACTGTCGAAATATTTTAAGCAATTATCTTGAAATTGTTCAAAACTTCGAGGAGTAACACTTGCGAAAACTTTCTTCCGAATACAAGTAACAGAAGACGTGACAAAAAGATAGTAAAACTTATCGCGCTTATTTAGCAGGACGAAAGACGAGGACGACTATGACGATTAAGAAAGAAGGAACATGAGAGGTCGAGTAAAACGAGTAGAAGACATGCAAGGATGGGCTTATTACCTTTTGGCAAAAATCCAGCGTGTATCATCCTCGCCTCCATGAGCAGAGACGGTAGAAGGAAGCACATAGCCGTGCAGAGATGTACGAACGCCGACGTTGGTCCACCATGTCTCCATAAATTATTCGCCAAGCCTGAGACAAAAAAGGGAAGAACATTCATCTTATTCGTAACGGAGTCGGCAAATTTTCATACACGAGATATCGCGGTCTTTCCTTTTTTAATAAAAAGCACTTAAAAAAAAGAAAAGCAAAATCCCAAAGTCAGCATTTTAATTACACAGCATTTAATTACACACACACATATATATATATATATATATATATATATATATATATATATTATAAATAATAAAATTTAATTTACATTATAAAATTAATTTTAGGACCCATGTTAATTAGACATTTTTTACTCATATTAAAATATCGGCCCCTTTTTTTACCATTCCGTGTGTGTGTGTTTGTATGTATATTTCTCTATGTATAAAGTATGTATATTCTCTTTCTTTCTCTTTCTTTCTCTCTGTTGTGTGTGCATGTATGTGTATGTATAGTACTCATCGAGATAAATAAAAAATGTCTAAAAATTAACGTAAGTTCTAAATTAATTCCTTTCCATATAAATTAAATTTTATTATTTGTAATAAAAGTTAGTGAACATTAATGAATAATAATGAATTAATAAATGAGTCCCTTGGCAACATATTGAAAATAAACATATTCCATTATATATATTATATTATACACGTTAGTAATAGTTTTTGCTTATTTTCATAATAGACTTATCTTGGCGATCTTGAACTATTTAAACAAATTCCTCTGTATACGTTCAATATGTTCCCAACAGATTCACTTACGACATCGAAGATTCATAAATAATAAAAATTTAATTAAGATCGAAAGAATTGATTTTACGACCCATGTTAATTAGACACTTTTTCAAAGTCTAAAATATTATACTCTTTCTTTTTTACCATCTTGTATATATATATATGGTCTGTACAAACTTTTGGTATAAGTTCCAGGGATATAAACAAGTAGAAAATGACAAGTAGAAAATGAATATGGGTTCGGAAGTGCTTGCTTCTAAAGTTACGATGGTTCAAAATTTTTCTGTAATAGTTGGAGAAATAATTACGTTAAATCGTCTAGCTATCTTTTTTTCTAAATCCCTCGTGATTTCTTTATCTTCTTTCAACCTAAATTCCTTATGCAAAAAAAAAAAAAAGAAAAAAACAAACAAAGTTTATAACTTTTTTACGATTTGATGTGATAATTTCTTTAACCGTTGCAGGATAACTTCGAATCGTTGGAACTTCAGAAGCAAGCGTTTTCGATCTCATATTCATAGAACATTTTCTACTTGTTTACATAGTTGGAAAATATTCCTAAAGTTTGTACAGACCTTTCAGTTACATTCTCTACATGCATACACATACATACACTCACGTAGAGAATAATATAAAAAATTATATAATAATATTATAATACAATATAATATAATAAAATTAAAATATTAATATTTTAATTAAGTAATTAATATATATATATATATATATATACATATACTATATTATATATATATCCACATGCTATATTATATTTAATAACATTATAAAATATTATATTATACTTATTTAAACTATTATATAAATTATATATAAATATTATTATTATATTCTATTATGACTGTTAATTAAATATTTAACAAATTTGGTTTGTTATTAAAAATAAAAAAAAAAAGAAAATTGATAATTTACAAAATTAATTGAACAACAAAAATCTTTAAAATATTTTTATCTCTTTTTTTTTTGTAAATGTAATTCTTTTTTGTTAAGAAAAAAGAAAGACAACTCACTATTATCTGGACTGTTGGTAAGTAACGAGGAAGGAGGATCACGAGAGCACGCGCTCAAATGACGGCCAAGTTTAATTCCGTCGTTGGCGAGATTTCCGAGCTTGAGGAAGGCAGTACCGAGTAAAACAGGAAGTAAAACCACTCCAGCCCCAGCCAGAACTAGGCACGCGTGCAACTCGATTTTCGGTGGTGGTGCATCCGCCGGCCATGGCAACGAGAGATACGCTGAAAGAAAATAAAAAGTTCTCTTGTTGTTTTCGTCCGAGTAAAAAATCATACTTTTCTTTGTCTTGGTTTTTCTTCTTTTATGTATAAATTCTTTAACTTGTTAGCAAGGAAGAGTTTTTATCTTCTGGATGAACGTGGATGTACGTAATTTATTTCCATTTAAAATAAAACAGTAAAAATGTGTACAAGAAATTAAAGTAGAATCAAGAAATATAATCCTTTCTTAATATTATAATAGGAAGAAACAAATTATTTGTAATCCATTATTTATTATTTTAATAAATTAAATATTATTTTAATAATTATTTATCACGAAAGAGAAGGAGAGAGAGAGAGAGAGAGAGAGAGAGAGAGAAAGAGAGAGGATTAAATATTCATGACAGATTAACTCGTCATCTTTAATTGAGAATATTAATAAATAAAATTGTAATAAACGTAAATTTTCAGCAAAAAAAATATTTTATTTCGAAATGAAACGAAAATGATACAAGGAAAAGGGAAAAAAAAGTAAAACAGAAGGAGAATAAAAAGTAAAAAAAAAGAAGAGAAGAAAAAAAAAACAAAAAAAAAAAAAAGAAAAATGTTAAGAGAAAAATATTTTTTCAGCGTGGCAAAGGTTAATTCACTTTTACGAGAAGTTCGACGACATAAACGAGAAAGGTGAACGTCCTCGATTTGCTTATTAGAAATGTTAGCCGTCCTATTAACAAACGGCCACGGAAGCCTCGAATTTTCTCTTTTAATCGATACCTGAACTTTCCTAGCAGACGGAAATTCTCCTTTAATCTTATAAAACCAGCAGCCCGGTGCACCTAGAGTGAGGGATTTAGTGTGGTTCGTCAGCTGATTCGCAAGAAAGAAGAATAAAAAAAATTGGCTGGAGAGCTCTTCTGAAGAGCTCTCTCTCTCTCTCTCTCTCTCTCTCTCTCTCTCTCTCTCTCTCTCTCTCAATCTATCTTTTTCTCTTTATCTCTGTCTCTATCTCTCTATCTCTTTTTTTCTCCTTTATTGGCGAAAGTGATAATGCTTGTGTATATGATTCAACGATAAACAAAAAACTAGCGTTAAATTTTGTTAAGATGAACTTCTGCTCATGACACTGCTCGTGACTTTTCTTTGGAATATAAAAAAATTAAAATAAAGAAGGTAACCTTTGCGATGGTTGAGACATTTTTCTCTCTCTTACCAAAGTTTTTAATATCTATTACATTGAAATAAATTATCTACATGGTGAGTTTTAATAAATTTATCGTAATGCTATTGAAATAATTCGAAAAAGATTGAAACTACATTTTCTCTCTCTCTCCCTCTCTCTCTCTCTCTCTCTCTCTCTCTCTGTATTTTTTTTTAATAAATTCGTTAACCGAAAAATCGATTTCGTACAAATTCAATTCATAACTATTTTTAAACATAACATTCGGGAGAACTAATTGTCATTTCTTTTTACATTAAACTGTATTCTTAATTCAAACAAATTAGATGTTTTGATCTTTTAAAAGCAATAAAGAAAATCTTAAAGACGTATTAATCTTTTTAAAGATGATCATTTAAAATTTTTATAATCCAATCGATCTAATTCACGTATATTCATATTCGGTTTATTTGATATCTCTATGCTAATTAAACAAATAAGAAAAAAAGATTGGAAATATTTGAATATGTTGAAAATATTTGAATATGTTGGAAATATTGAATCACTGTTCCTAAAGATTAAATGTAAATAATTGTAACAAGTGTAAATACTTATAAGTCTTCCTGAAAAGATTAAATCAAAGAAAATTCTTTTTTATTTATTATTTCTTTTTAACGATTGATGGAGAAAAAGATAAGAAGAAGAAGAGGAAGAAGAAAAAAAAAAGTAAGGAAAAAAAGAAAAGGAAAGAAAAGAACTCACTGGCAAATCTTCTGGCGTATCTCATTGCGATATAAGTCTGAAATGCAACCGCCAAGATGCCGTACCATACCGACCAAAGACTATTCACGTGACCTCGCACAGAAGATTCCTTCTTACGCGAATTCCGAACCTTCTTCGACGACTTCCCAGTGCATGTCGTCGTTACACCGCTTGAATTTATACTCGACATAACCGGAAGTGGCTTCAACGGTTTTTTGCATTTCGCTTGATTCACTTCGTTATTGTTCTCGTAGCCCATCAAACTCCCTGTCATTGACATCTTGTTCTGAAATTAGAAAAGAAAAGATTAGAGTTTGGGTCCAATCGTACATTAAATTTTATCACTTAATATTCCTGCCAATGACAATCTTACGATCTACGATACTACGAGCATTTATATATATATATTAGATTAGAAGAAAAAGTTTCTTCGTATTTTAATGCAAAACTAAATTAAGTTTTTTTTTAAATATCTTAAACAAAGTTTATTACACCAAATATGTGTCATTTTGATCGATCATTTTTCTCTATTTTCGAGGTAAAATTATAATTCTGTCATTGTAGAACTTGTTTTCATCGTTCATTTAACGAGCCGTTTCAAAAATGATTCGATTACGATCCGTTTCAGTAACGATTCGCAAATAGAAATTCGAACCATTAAATTTGTCATTGTTAAAATGAAACCCAAACGTTGAATTTTTTTTGTACTCAACATTTTTTAAATGCTTTAAAACTGTTTTGTGATTGATATTTAATTCCTTAGCGACATCATGACTGCTAATGTGTCGGTTTTGATCAATTTTTTCTATAATTCCATCAACTTTTTTAATCATTGTCTATAAATATCACAAATTTTTTTCAGCAGGTTGAGTCGCATTTTTCCCTTTTTTGTAATAAAATTTTTAAATGTAACGAATTTTTTTTTTATTTTCATTTATTTTCAAGACATGATAACTTATAAACGAATAAATTAATATAATCATAACCTTTCTAAAAACACTCAGTGTGTCTTTCGAACGCATGCAATTATTATCAGATTTGATTAATACTACCAGAGTTATACGATCATAATATCATCGACTGGGAGCATACGAAGAAACTTTTTTTCCGACCCAAAATATGTTTACGTTCATATTTATTTGTTAATTGTTTTAATAATTGAATAATCATTATTGGAACATTAATACAATATTTTGTCACTAATAAAGTACACTTTATAGAATATAATACATGTAATATAATACTCAATGAAACAATAATTCGTAATTAAAAAACTTTATTAATAACTTTTACGTAATATAATTGAAGTATTATTTAAATGTATTCGATATATTAAAATTTATTTCTTTCGGTGTTTACAAATTAATAATACGTGACCTTCCTAAGTAAAAATAATTATTTTCAAAACTCTCTTCATCATCCATATAAATTTATTCGATCTTATCAATTTTCAGATTAATAAAAATTTTACGACACAATTGATATCTATATAAAAGATTAGTATTATTCCCATAGTTATTATTCTTACTAACTATTTAAGAAGATATATAATATATCAAAAATATCTTAAATTTGTATCATTAAATTTGTTCAATATTCAACAGAAACATGTCGTTGATATTTCTACTTAGAAATGACTTCATTAAAGGATGAAAAGAAAGAAAAAAGAAATAGTTCGTTTTACTTAAGATTGGCATTTGTCGGAATAAAATAAGACATTTAAGAAATAGAAACGTTCAAGATACGCGTAATTCGTTGCATTAAAAAGAAACAAATGGTTGAACAAAATGTTGAAGAATAAAAACAAGAGACGTCGTATCCCGTAGTAGTCTCTACGTAGGTATTTCAACAGTTTATCTCTTGCACGCCATTGAATCTACCCGTTATATGCTACGATCCCTCACCCCTCTATTTCATTCTTTTTTACCATGTTTTTCCTATCTTTTTACCATCCGATCTTATTTTCTCTCCTATGCTTCCGTTTATTTATACACGAGCTTGACTCGAATTATTCTTTTTCGCGTGTACCAATGAGACGGAAAAGAAAAATAAGAAGAGAGCAAAGGGGAGGAAAGAGTGGGATGAGAGAGTTCTTGGTTCTAGTTATGCTTAAGTATTTATCAGTACTCCTACGCTCGACTCGTTTTCATTTGTTCTTTATTCAAAATTTTCTTATACAATCACGATGATTAACGCGAACGTACTCATATACGTATGCATTTTTTTTTCTATAATAATGTCATATTTCATTTTCGGGATTCTATGAATTGTATTTTTATACAAGACATTTTATTACTAATCGATATATGTAACATTTATAAAGGATAAAAAATTAAATTCAATATCAATATTTTTTATTTATGAAAAAATATGTTAGAAATGATTTTTTTCAGACCATTTAGTCATATTTCATTTTTCATATTTCATTGTCATATTTCATTTTCGGGATTCTATGAATTGTATTTATATACAAAACATTTTATTACTAATCGATATATGTAACTTTTATAAAGGATAAAAAATTAAATTCAATATCAATATTTTTTATTTATGAAAAAATATGTTAGAAATGATTTTTTCAGACCATTTAGCATCATCAAAATTTATTTGAATTTTGTACTTCTATACAGAGTGAGTCATACGAATCTGTCAGTATATGTATTTCTTTTTATTTTTTAATTAAATAAAAAATTTAATTGATTCTGAATATTATACAAATAATCCAATATGTATTACTATAATTTTACTATAATAAGAAGAAAAAAGAAATAGAGAAAAGTTAAATGCACCAATGATCGTCGATCATTAAACGATCCCTTTTGACTTTTCGAAGTGCTTTCGAAGAAGGTCTTAAAAAGAAAAACTTAGGAAGTAGTACGTATTCCCTAAGGTTCTCGATCGAGCTGAGATTCACCAACCTCTACGTGCCGGCCTTAAAACTCAAGGGGTAGTAAAGTTCCGAGTTTACGAGCTTCTTCCTCGGATTCGTCACGCCATTCACTTCGAACGAAGAAAACCACCCACGCGCTGCGTACCGGGACTATTATGTGCGTGACTGTATGTCGAGTACGAACATACATACATACATTTATATATACACAAACACACACCAAAATATAGATATATGTATATACACATGCATGCGCACGCGCACACATACGTGTAATATGATATATGCTATATGTATATCACTTTTCTTTCACTGTTATTCAAGTATGTTTATGATCCCGGGTATATGTTTGAATACACACATACATATATATATATATATATATATATATATATATATATACATACACATATTTAATTTCGTTTATGACCTAAAAAACTCCTGTCCTTTCACCAAAATACTGTAGCAGGTATGTAAAAAGAAAAAAAAATTCTACATAAAAAGATAATATATATCTATTAATATAATATTCTATATAAAAATAAAATTTTATATATAAAATAATATATATTAATATACATTAATATACATTAAATAATATATATAATTAAATCTACATAAAAATAATATTCTATATAAAAAATACAATATTATATTTGAACGAGGTAACGTATGAATGACGTATAGTATATATAAAACTAAGTCCTGTTTCAAGCGATCCTTTTGAAGATTGTTAAAATTGTCAGTAATACTTATTTATTAAAATACTTCGAACGTATGCATGAATATATGATGAATGAAATATATAAGATGTATTAAAATAATATTATGCGTTAACATTGTTAATGATTATTTATTAAATTATTTTAAATGTATCCATTTGCATGTAAAATCATTGACATTGTTTTCAAGATAATTTCTTATTTATCAGATTACTTTATATATTTATTTGTGTACATTATTTTTTTTACACATTATTTATCCTTCCAATGAAGCTTATATTAAAATGAGAAAAAATATCTTCAAACTTTTGAATAAGAAGAGGAACACTTTCTACTTTAACAAATTAAATGCTGCGTTAATATGACATGACTGGTCCACAACATCAAAACATGAATGTGCTATTATGCGATACATATTATTTTGAAATATTATCTACAACAGATAAGTTGAAGTGTATAATCATGTTTAAGACTGTTAATCTCCCTTGGTTTTATAATGGTTTACGTCAACGATAAGAACAGTGGTAATTCTTGAGCAATTTTGATGAACAAGATCTCATTCTAAAGACGAAAGTTTAAATCTAGAACCATGCTTCACTTTTCATAAAAGTTTTATATTTATAGATAAACTATTGTCAATAAAATACTATTTTTTAACAAGGTTTTTGTTCAAAAGAAAATAAAACTATTTTAAAAATTCAAATGAGTCATTTTTAAAATGAGATTTTGTTCATCAAAATCGGTCAAGAATTCTTATTGTAGGCATACATGCTTTTATCAATATTTTTTACGAAGAAAGTTTTGTACTGTGGCGTCCTCAAAATCTGCGGTCAAATAGAAAAAGCTCGAACGTCCACTACTGATTTTTATATACACATTTGAACATTGTATATTTTGTTTTCGTGAAGTAGTGATTACCTATTTATTCGTGTGCATAAACTGATGATACTCAGATTTTCATCATTTCAAATGCAAAGAAATACATTTCATCATTAATCAGATTTAGACAGATGATTCTCTGGCAAAAGTAAGAAAATATGTGTTTTTTATTTTTATTGTTTATTATTTGCTCTGCATACCTATTCGTTTTCATGACAATATTATCTCATAACATATTATCAAATATTATATTAAAAATGTCTAATTCTTTTTTCTTTGCATCTAACTTGTATAAAATTGCCACATTTATGCCATGAGTCTCCGTATAATTCCAAATCTTCGATTAATTATTTTTTTCTTTTTAAATTCATTGCTCTGATAGTTGATAATTAATGCGGTCTCATCTTCATCATCGGTATCATCTTCAATAACCAGTCGCTTACAACGATTGGTTATCGTACAAGTTATAAAATATCACTATTATCACTATCAAATCAGTATTTGCAAAGTTAGCACAACTCTTACTGTCCATCAACGCTAAATTTTCTTTTTGAAGATATTTTTAAAAAATATATTTGAACGAATGAATGTGGCCAAATATAATATGTAAGTGAGAAAAAAGATATCAAGAAAATTAACAATGAGTTTGACTCAACTAAGATAAAAAGATATCGGGAAAAACCAAGTTAGACCCGTCTTGTTTACGTTGGGCCCAATTTACAAATCATAAGTCTGGCACGTATTGTTTACGTTTAGTCCGATCAACTTATCACGACTCTCACCTGTGATACTTATTGGTCCAATTTCCTTTCCACAAGTCTCACACGATATTGTAGCCAAAGGGTTTAATGAATTTATCTTATCATTCCAGTAATGATAATAGTATTGAAAAATTTAGAAATATTAGTATTTACTCTTATTATATGTCTTTACTAATTTTGATGTTGCCGGTTACCTATGTTCCCCATGGAGCCACAAACGAATTCAGTGCCGGTTACCAGCGACCCCCATGGCATTTAATGTGATAACAGATGCATCATAAAAGACGCTACAATTAAAAACCCTCTTTCCTTCAGGAAATTGTATTGCTTACCTTCTTTTAAGAGAATCTTTCAGTGGAAATGATTGAAGATATTCGAAAGAATTTTAATAGCTGTATCAATCTCGCAAAAATGTTTCTTGTTTTCTATGGCAACGAGCAAAAGTTTCGGTAAGAAAACTTTTTGATTGAAGGAATCGACCAGAAAGGGGTGGAGCGGGAGAGAATAAGGAGTAAGGAATGAAGGGATTTAACGTATATTTATGAATATTCTAACGAACCGACGAATCAAATTTTAGGGAAAGAAGTAGCAGTCCGTGAACGAAAAAGCTTTTCGAGTAGAGCTTATGGAAACCTCTTCTCGTCCTGTCCTTCAACGTCTCTCTGAACTCATCTCACTCTCACTAACTCTCACTAACTCTCACTAACTCTCTCTTTCTCTTTCTCTCCCCCTCTTTCTTTTCCCCTATCTCTCTCTCATTTTTTTTTTCGTTATCTTGCACTTTTCATCTCTCACACGAAAAAATATAAATTAACATCTCGGTGGAAAACTTTTGAGAGGACTTTAAACAGACACACACATTTTAGTTTGGCTAATAAGTAATATTAGAATTTTCTATATTTTATAGTTAAATAAATAACACAGATTATTATTTTTTACTGAAATATCGAACCTAATATTTGGCTATTAAAAATAGTGGAGAAAGAGAGAGAGAGAGAGAGAGAGAGAGAGAGAGAGAGAGAGAGAGAGAGAGAGAATTATTAGTAAAAATATTAATAAATATACTAATATGAAAAGACTAGTAAAAATATTAATAAATATACTAGTAAATACACTAATAAAAATACTATTTCTATTTATTCCATTATACAAAATATTAATGTTATTTATTTAGATACAAAACACTTGTTCTTTACTCAAATACAGTATATTAGTACTAGCACTATTTATTTATATTACAAAATATTTATATTATTTATTCAGATAGAAAATATTTAAAATACCGACATTACTTATTGACCAGCCTATATATGTATGTGTATATATGTAAGTATATGTAAATATGTACTCGTTAGGTTCATTGACGAGTAAGAATCAACACTTTTTTTTTTGTAAACATACTAATCGAAAAAACCGACATTATCGGAAATAATTTTATTTTAAAGTAAACAATTCAATAGGACAATAGAAATTGTGTAAGATAAACAATGAGAAGCTGAACCGATTGCACGATAAGCATATATAAATATGAATTTACTTACGAGATCAATTGACAAATTTGAAATTTTTCACCATTTGGAAATGATAATAAGATTTTCGTGGAAAAATTTTACGCGTCGTTTGAAATTGCAATGCAAGAGTTTATTACAAAAAATTATAATAGCGATCAACGTTAAATCATAACATATAACTTTTTAATCAAAATATTTAAATAAAAGTAAATATAAAATTAGAAAGAGAATTGGAATTAGATTATTAACAAATTGTAGGAAGCATCAATGCGAATTTCTAATTTAAAAATTTTAAAAGCTAATTTTAAATCTAACAATGTTTCAAGAATATAGAGTGATAAAATTAAGAAGAGAATTAGGTTTAGGGGATTTGCCCGTGTATAAAGTTCAGTATAAAGTATTCATTGTTGGGATGACACTGATCGTCGACCAAGGAAAATTCATTGGACTATCTCTATTCAGGATTTTAAATATTCAAAGGAGAGTTGAAATTTCGCTACCTTCCGTGATCTTTTAACCCGGGTTGGCATTATCCGCCTTCCAGAAATCGCATAAAACGAGCTTTCGCGCCTGGATGATTACCTACTTCTGAATCTTTCAGATGACTTTCAACGGTCAGATTTTCAAAATCTTTAAAAGATCTTAAGAAATTTTGATATCTCTGTTAGATTTTTTTTTATCTAAAACAACTTTCTTAAACTTTTATAATAATGCTGTCTAGCTTTAAATGCATACATTCATATATCTTTATTTTTTAAATTCTAATTATAAGTTCATCTCTGGGAGGTTAAAGTTTACGTAGGGTTATGGGTGTTGTGGATTAAAAAGATTTGATATTTCACAAAAAGAAAGAAAAGAAAAAAAAGGAAGTAAAAAGATCGATTTTATGAATCTTCGTATATTTCAATAGTGTATGATTCTTTGAGAATATCTTTATGTTTGGCTTTTTGAAAAATTTGCAAAATTGCATTCAACAGACCGTAAAACTTAGCAGGGTGTGCGGCTAACCAAAAGGGTTATATAAGATCGATCTTATAAGATTTTGCGGTTTAATGGATTTGCTACGTTTTCTTACTCATAAATCATACGGCAGAATAATGAAATCCACTTAACAAACAATTTCAACAATTATTTCGCTTAAGTATGAATAATCTTCTGACATACGTAAATATTATATTGAAACAGAATACAATATTCTCGGAACTACATTTTCTTTAATGATTTTATCTGCGAACCGCCGGTGACATATATCAAATATATATCAACTTGAAATTTATTAAGGAGGAGTTGTGAAATATTATGATGGAAATATTGTATGTGAAAAATAAATCGGATTAAAAAGATACGTAGTTACGATTTTATATTAACAAATAACTCGAATAATATCAAATTTTTCGTTGTCTGAATGCCATTTTTGTTAATTCTATTTCCATTTTCAATTCTTCAGATATAGTTAATAGAATCAAGCCTAAGGAAAAGAAATATCATTAACAATTCTCAAAATCTTAATCTGTTCGACTGGAATCGTGATAAAACCAGATTTTAAATAGTTTGCATTCTGTTACGTTGGAACGTCAATATTATTGACCTAAGAATGATTCCCGGTAGATTTTTTTATTTTATATTGTTATGGTTAGTATCCATGAAAAAAGAAAAACTTCTATATTCATTCGAGGGCTTGTTATAAATAATTAAACAGTCGACAATTTTTAAAATTTCAAATATTTCTAATCTTTTTAATACAAAATTGGGTTATAAAGACTTATGAAAGGGAAAAAAATATTGATTTAAAAATCAAAAAGACAAGTCCTAATATGAAAACTGTTACGTCCATTGAATGTCAGTCTCCCTTTTCTATTATTATCATTACTCTTTAATGATTTATATTATTATCACTATTATTATTATTATTATTATTATTATTATTATTATTATTATTATTATTATTATAATTATTATTATTAAAATATTAATATTAATATATTGTTATTAGTATTATCATATTTAATTATTATTATTATTATTATTATTATTATTATTATTATTATTATTATTATTATTATTATTATATTATTATTTTTATTATTATTAAAATACTATTAAAATATTGTTATTAATATTATCATATTTTATTATTATTAAGACATATTTATTAATTCTCCTGTTATTTATTATAATTAAAGATGAACTCGTATACTTATTTTTTTAATTATTATTGCGCCCTGGTTACACCTAAACCAAATATAAAAGAAAACGAATATTTACTTTTGGGGATATCAGATCAATAAATTTAAAAATGATTTAACAATGTTAAGAAACGTTTAGGAGATAAAAAAGAAAACGAAAAAAAAAAGCAAAAAGAAAAAGAAAAAACATAGGCGAAGACTCTTCCAGAAAACGTAAAATGATAATGATAACTTTACAAAAATAACGAAGAAATCTCTCGAGTAGTCAAAAGATATCTTCTCGGATCACGGAATCTCACTCGAAGGCTCGTGAAAACCAAGAGATAACGGTGATCCAAGAAGTAGAGAAACAGAGAGAGAGAGAGAGAGAGAGAGAGAGAGAGAGAGAGAGAGAGAAAGAGTTAGAGATAGAGAGAAAGAGAAAGAAAAAGAGAGAACACAACGAAGAAGAAGCTTTCCTTGAAGGTCCAACAAGAAGATTCTCGCGTAATTGGCATTTTCTTGTGAAATTAAGTTAAAAAAGAACACAAGCAAAATGAAGGAATATTCATAGCTTACCAAAAGCTGGCTGTGTGCTGTTGATGGCGATTGCGAACAACCCAGGGATGCGCGTCTATTGTTTTGAGTAGGCTCCTTCAGGATAATTGGATCGAAGCTCTTGCATCTTTGGCAAGCCGGCACCGCACGGC